GTGGACTGTGCGGCGATTTTCAGGAATATTCTTTCCTACACTGGCGATTCCATGAATATTTGCCTCTTTTACAGTTCGAGTATTTCTGCAGCGGCGATTAAAAATTGAAGATGGGAGGGGGTAAGGCGCTTCCGGGAACAGATGCATTTATTGCAATTGAAGAGCGGGGGTGAGACTTAACTAGGATTTTGCACCCAACAAAGTATGGGGAACTGATTTGCAGCTTGCATCATGGTCATTGAGCGTGTTGTATCGTTGAGTAATTCGTCCATAGATGGACACTTTAGATGACACCCCCAGTGCTCATAGCGAACAAACGCTGAAGGTATTATCTGCATACTAGGAATCATCTAGCCAGCGAGTTGACATTTTGTCGTTTTTTAGGTTTTTCACGTAATAGCCTTGCCGCAGGGTTATTGATGACTGGTAGGCTAATGTGCAAATAGTTCATTCCGCGCTTGCTATAAGTGAGCATGAAGTCGAACAATATCTAGTTCCAAGATGTACTTGTAGGAAAGCCTACATATTGTCATAAAAAGCTACATAATGTCAAAAAAACCGACATAATGTAAAAAAACCGACATAATGTCACTTTTCAAGTCATGGAATAGCCTTGCCGATGAACTGCTAACAGTATATTGTGGACAATTTTATTGCATCAGACTTAGGCCCGTATCGTCAGTCGTCCCTACAATTGTAGGGCGCGTTTATGGCCTCCTTGATTGTCATACTGCTTTCTCTCCTTCAAAAATTTCTAGATTACACTTGTCCCGTGTCAGCGTCAGCGCTCTCCTATTGTGAAGATATGTTTTCCTTTTAAATTGTAGGAAATTTCAGGCTGATAAAACATGATATAACTCAAAAGCAAGTACAATTTGATGTTTGTGACATAACCTCAAAACAGAGCACTGACTTGGAAAAATAGAAAACTATGACAATCAAGGAGGCCATAAAGGCGCCCTACAATTGTAGGGACGACTGACGATACGGGCCTTAATCCTGGATTTTGGATAAAGGGGGGACCATCGTTTTGTGTAATTTTTCTAGGTGTCAACATTATGACGCCGCCACTGCAAGAGCGTTACTATCACGAGTGGCGCCATTAAAAATTCAACAATAAAGATTGATTTTACATCAAGCTCGTACTTCGGACACACTGGTCACGTGATACAAGATGGCAGCCTGATTCATGGCCGGCCACGGCTCTAGGCAAACATCATTATCTGATTGTTCACGTATTGCTCGAAGTTTCAGCTGATAGAACATGGTAATCTTTCATAAATAGGATGTTTGGACGCTAATTGTATTGTCTGAAATTTTATCTATTAGTAAAAGTAGATTAACGTTTTACGCTATATTAACAATTTATGAAGTTTGAGAAAGGGGAAGGTAGACATTTCCAACATTTATAGATCTTGTATATACGTTTTGTAATGCCTGAAACTTATCATGTGGTTTCTATGTTGATATGATTCCATGAACTTCTGGCCAAATAAAACCACATATGAATTGAATACCTTTCGCTGACATTTCGCACACCACGGTGGCCTTTTCACATTACAAACCTTAAACCTCAATTATGTTCCATGACAAATTTTGGTAATCTAAATCAAACATGAAAATTGATATGAAAATATTATCTCTTCTTAACCTAGATTGAAGTACCTCAGTATGTTTTCTGGGAATGCGTAGTAATCAGCCAAACTTTTTTTGTTTGTTGTACCCCACATGCACACTATTATAAGTTACACTGAACCCCGTTACATTATATTCCACTCCCATTTCTTTATAATAAAATATCTTTAAAATTATATAGCATAGAAATCGCAATTAACTTTAAACACGAACTAATTGAAGATTAAAGGGAAGATATTTATATTTATTCACCAGAAATTGAACCTTTGAACAAGAAGCCAATTTCACCAGGCCATTTTTTTACGTTGTTAAAAAAAACATAATTAGAGCATTCTTCCATTCGCTTAGATAGACAGTAACACTGACGGTAACAAATGGCCTGATTTTCCATGATATACATGACAAAACATCCAAAGAACATAATGTCTCATTTTCGAAATCTTTCGCGATTACGATACTCTCTCTCCAGTGGCGTGGAGAGTAAAACTGGTGAGCGAGCTTATATTGATTTCAAGGAACATAACGAAGAGACACCACCACAAGCAGAATAAAAATAGTTTTGAGGACGGCACTTATTTTTGTGAAGACTAGTTGCGTACGTCCGAGGATACAACTATCAGAGACGTGCGATTTTAAACATCCTGTATCAAGCATACGGGGAATCTCCAGTACGATGCTTACCTACCCAATGAGCGCCAGATGGGTACTGACTAAAATCACTCATCTATGAGCATGAAGGTGGAAATCTTGTCTTGGAATGTACGAGATGCGGTATTTGGTTTTCAGTGTGTATGATTTTCATATTTTTACGAGTTACATCTTTCCCTAAATTATCCTGATAACATCATGTAACAGTCCATACGAATGGCTGGCGTAGAAGCAATTTGTTTCATAAGTATATGTTCGATTAGTAACCAGAAAGACGCGAAACTTAACGTCCAAATTGAAAAACAGTCACAACATTCAGTATCTCAAATCTATTGAACGAGAAAAGACAATTACCCGCTTATTTAAAACGGTGTCGAATTGGTTGGGCTTCAACAACCAACAACATCAGTAACAGTTTGAACGAAACACAATAGTGCTAATAGCCAGGGGGAACAAATCGCAAATCCACCCCTTACAAGATAAAGATACAATCAATCTGGTCGCGGTGGCCTGGCGCGCCCCAGACCGAAACCGTGCGATTCAAACATATGGCACTAAATAGCACTAATGTGCGCTGAAATAAAACGTTTATGTCGTCCCTTAAATGCTCGGGGTGCTTGTCTCTCTTGTAGTGTAATAGCCATTCCAAGTTTTACATAATCCTGGCCACGATGGATCTTGGACATGGATACATAATATGGGAAGAACTCTGTTATGGGTTGCTTAGTACCTCATGAGTATTACGTTGCTCATCATGATGATGTTCCAAACATTCCAAAGTATACTAATTTTTTGGAGAATCCCTCACTTCGGGTATGGACGTGTGATTGAGTAACTTATCATCTTATAACGAAACCAGCACCACATATCTCCGAATATACCTATACATTGATGAAAATCTCAGATGGGACGTATATCGAATATGTGACAAAGAAAATAAGAGGCAGAAGCGGTGGCGGCAGTAGTAGACTCTTCGGTCGCCATGCGCTGTGCGGGTTCGAATCCCGTCCCAATAGAAATTTTTCTCTTGGCTATGGATGTTGTGATTGTCCGTAGGTGGTAGACGGTCTCTGACTGTCGAACGCAGAGGTACCACCCGGCGAATCTTGTAGGCGGGGCCAGAATGTGTGCATGTTGCATGCACACGTGTTCCCTCGCCAGAGTCCTTCTGGCGTCGCCCCCTTTCCCCTGTATCCCCATATAGCCCCACGGCACCCCATGGGTGTTTAGCCCTTAGGCCTTCGTGGTGGTTGGAGTATAAAAAAAAGATGTCGCATTCCAAAATTCAAATGCTTATCAAATATCCTTGATATTGATCTTATGCGAATCGTGTACGCGCTTGTGTAGTCACATCTTTGCTATAGAATACTTGGCTGGGGTGGAGCTGCTACCACTTATTTAAAGAACTCAGAAATCGCTCAAAAGTATTTATTAAAAATTATCTATGGCAAGACAAAGATACATCGGTCTGATGAACTATACCACGAGTCTGGAATGCTTGACATTAGACAAGAGTTCTATCAACTGTGGCATGCTGCCCTCTCATGTAAACTTCCATCCTAAGGCCTCCGCGGAAAGCTTTGCAGATGGGTGGATGACTTCCTTTCTAGCCGCAAGATATCCTTCGTAATTGACAGGTTCTCCTCTTCATCCCACAACGTCAACGCGGGTTCCCCAGGTATCGGTCTACGCTCCGACATTGTTCCTCTCACATATCAACGACTTACTTTCTTGTACAGTCATTTCAATCCTCAGCTTTGCTGGTGACAGCACTCCACATGCAAGAATTTAGAGTGACAAGCTGGTTTCTGCTGCTCAGCTGGAGAAAAGAAGACTAGCAGCGACATCCTCTCCGATGAGAGACCTGGAGTTCATTGTACAGTTCATTGCTTCCAAAACGCCTTCACGAATAAGAGCCGTTCATTTCAGCTGGTTGGAGTCTACATCACCGAGGACTTGATCTCACACGAACCCATCTCGTCAATAGCGACTGCTGTTTAGGGCTAAGAAGTAGTTTTTTTAACATGATCTCCTCAGTCTGTACAGGGCCCAAATAAGACGTAGCCTCAAGTACTGCTCAGATGTTTGGGGTGCTGCCGCCCCGACTACATTTTCCATGCTCGATGCTTTTCAGAGGAGGGCTGTCCGACTGATAGATAACTCTTCTCTAATGTACAGTCTCGGGACCCTTTCGCACCGGCGGGCCGTCGATGATCTAGCTCTCTTCTACCGCTACGCTAACGGGCTTTGCTCCTCAGAGCTCTTCTCCATGATTATGCCGCACGATGTGCCTGCCAGGTAGACCCGCCTGAAATCGAGATGGAAGAATCTACACGAGGAGGCTTTTTCCAGTTAGACTAACCCTAGACAGTTCAAAAGTCAATCGATTATTATCCAAGTTTGTACAATGAAATTCCCCCTGAGTATGAATTGTTACAAAACAATGGTTTTTTAAAAAATGAACCACCAATCGGTTTCTACTTGTTTGCTAGTACATATACGTACATAATGTACTCGTACAATGATGTGAATGCTGCAAGCATCACCATGCTGGGATGTGTAGCGCACGACTGCTGCTGTTTTAGTGAGAATGTCGAGTTCAGGAGAATCTCACATTTCGGAGAGGACAGAGCTGTCGAGCTTTTCTGCCTGATTGTGGCTATGAAAGCTTTTGCCTGAACAAAATAGTGCAGTTCCAGTTATCTAGCTGTTGACTTTTTAATCTTTTGTACAGGTTATATGAAAACTCAAAATGTACATTCTTTAATTTCCAGATTCGAAATCGATGAGTAAGTAATCGAACAATGTAATGTAGTGAAATTAATGATAGTGATAAGGAAAAGATGATGACAGGCTCTTTTGCTCTGGATATTGCGCCAAGTTTTACGTGTCATATGTCGATAATGTAAGCCTGAATCTATGTGCGTTAATGTGTCAATAAACAAACAATACTTTTAGTTTCAGCGGTCACGTGGTAACCAGGCCTCCTTCGCGAATTGACATCTATACAATTCCAACCGGTAAGCTGCAATTCACTGTTTCGTAGTGGTTGATTCTATTGGTAGATTGAGCTTTGTGGTGTCTAGTTTCGATAGATATCACACTATGTATAGTGTATAGCAGCCATGCTTTCGCTCGTTGTCCCTAGACCATGCTGAGAAGTAGCCAAAAAGCACGAAACAGATGTCCATGGTTGGCTGTCTTTGGTTGGCCTGACAAAATCAGAGCATGTTTATTTAATAATAAATTATAATAATCCATTTTTTCCCTGTTAAATAGTAGTAGCAGGCACTATAATAAGTCAAGCGTCAGACAAATTGGTAAGACAAAAACATCCACAGTTCAGGAAATAAAAAAATGTAAAAACAGAATGAGTTTAGGACGAAAAGAACTCCTACAAGCTGTAAAAATATCCCTCTAACAAAAATGCCTTGAGTTTTTGTTTAAAAACAACTAATGTTGGAGAATCCTCATCAAGTTTATTGGATACTTTTCAGCCCTTATAACTATAATATTTCTTGAAAGTACTTGCGATTTGCGATGTCATTATGGACATATTTTTGTTTCAAAGATGTTGATTCGTTATATACAAAAGTTGAGACTCGGATATCTAAATACCTATCGTTAAAATATTTAGAGATTTGAGGGTTAAGTTGTTTATTATTATCTCATATTTGAAATAATTTCTGCACGATTGACGCAAATGTAGATTTTCAATGCTCCTAACCACATATTCCAGTAGCAGAAAGAATCTACCTATTGTAAAGCTACATCCCAGCATAAAATGCCATAACGCAAGTGACAACTAAAGTGACAGTGGTAAAAAAAATCCAATTTCATATTCTGTTTTACATTCAGTAATTTATCACAGGAATACTTAGTCATAATAATAAATATAACTTTACACTACCCTCCACCATAAAGTAATAATATCTACAACAGAATTCATTCCCTCCGCGTCGTGTCGCATAATCTATTTGTGGAGCTGTACTGCAGTAAAGATAAGGGCCTTATCAGTTGTTTATCTACCTGGCGGTGATGGTGACGCAACCAAGTTATAAAAATGTACCGCACGAACCAACGCGTTTCCAACATCCTTTGCTCTCTTAGGTAAAATATTAAATAAATATTTGATTATGGTCGTCTTATGTGCCACGAAACTATCGTGGCCGCGAAACTTTCCGGCCGTGTAGATATATGGCTTAACACCGTTGCTAGGTAGAGATATGTTTTTGATAAAATGGATAGCAGACCGATTTGGTTCTTCCCACGGTCTAATACGAAGCCCTTTCCAGAATACAATAAATAAAATAAAAACAACCCATTTTTAAAAACAAGTTTTTATTTAGCTCTTAAGACAAACTAAAAATTTCTGATTGGAATCTTACCTTTTTTAAATTTTAAACAATAGTGAAACTCCTTTTCAGTTTTTCCATTCATTTTCTACTGATATTAGGAATCTACTTCTTCAACTAGACTTCTTACATACATTGTGTTCATTTGAATACTTTCCACCACGGATTTATCGAAAACCACTGATTAAAAGAAAAATCACCGAGACACGTCAAAAGATCTGTCAAGAGGGGCATTCTTCCGCATTCTTTTCGTTAACACAGATATCTTGGTCGGCGAACTGTATTTATTGTTATACCGATTTAGTTATTGATTGCTAGCGAGATAACCGAGGTATTTACTATGGAAACTGACCCAGGGGGTCAGGAAATGGCGCTTCCACCATGGCAATCGAGACGGAGTCGAAGGAGCAGGCCATAGAGGAGTTGAGAGCCGAATTGGAGATGGTTCGACAGGAGCTGTCAAAAAAGGACGATGATAAGAAGATGAAAGATTGATGATGATCATCGAAGCCCAACAGCGGACAATTACCGACCTAACAGTTAAATTAGACCTCCTACTGAAAACCCAGGTAGCTTCCCATCTAAAAATTACACATTCTTCCCAAACACTCCAACAAAATCCCAGTAAAGACAAAGCTGTCAATCTTAAGAGACCGTTAAATAATTCAAGCGATCATTCCACTGACGACTATACACTCCCTGACGGTTTTACCAAGGTTAAGCCCCGTAAAACGCGACGAAACAAGACCGACACGACAGGCTTTCCTCCTCTCCCTCCACCAAAATCGCAGTCTGAAACGTCTCGTTCAACTGCGAGCGACTCGAATAAACAGCCTGTGCCTAATCTATCGGTTACTTCTTCGCCTTCGACATCTCAGGTATCAGAACACACGACTGCACAGCCCCCACGCAAGGTACGTGTTACCCCCATCGTTCTTCGCGATGCTTCGAGATGGCGAGGCGTAAATCACAAGTTTATTTATTATATAAGCAAGTGAAAAGGTCTTGTCATCCTGATGACATTCGCAGAGCGACGAATCTTGTTCATGAAGTAAGAAATGCTCTTCATGAGCAATGAGCAATGGAACGACTTTCTGGCGGGGATGCTTGACTCAAGCATTCCTCCCTGGCAGGTGGCGAAGTCGCTCAAAAACGGAAAGCGTGAACAAATCCCACACATTCACGATCCTGGTGGCATTGTCTTCAGGACAGAGGAGAAGGTTGAGGTTTTCGCCGATGCCATAGAAAGACAGTTCTCTCCCAACTATGATCTTGATAATGACCTCGACGAGGAGCAACACATCGTAAGATCTGTCAGGAGATATTTTAGGGCCAACGGCGTCAGTGACGGACGCGCTATCGTTGGTGATTTTTCTTCATCAGAAGATCCTTCTTCAGCCGAAGATCTGCTTAGCACATCAGCGGCATCTCCTGAGATCCCGCATTGCACACCAGCAGAGATTCAACGTCATATTAAAAACTTTAAAGTGCGTAAAGCACCTGGGGAGGATCAAATCACTAATATGGCGCTGAAGCTGCTTTCGCGGAAGTCCTTAACTTATCTCGTGGCAATAGTCAATGCCATGCTAAGGATCCAGTACTTTCCATCCACGTGGAAGACCGCTGAAGTTATAATGATTCCAAAGAAGGTGGGTTCGATAGTTCCGAAGGATTATCGTCCCATTAGCCTGCTGTCAGCTCCGTCTAAGCTCGCTGAAAAGGTGATTCTACGTCACCTTGAGAATTTCTCGTCAGATCACCATGTGATTCCTGACGTGCAATTCGGTTTTCGGTCTGAACATAGTACGGAGCTATAGGCAGTTAGGCTGGTGGAACGTGTAACCAGAGGATTCACCCTTAAAGAAAGTACTGGCATCTTGCTTTTGGATGTCTCAAAAGCATTTGACAAGTTGTGGCACGCGGGCCTGTTGTATAAACTAATCCAAAAGGGCTTCCGTTTTTGACTTCTAAAACTACTGAAATCCTTCCTTGAGGGAGGAAATTTCGGACCAAAATTGACAATGTGCTGTCGATAATACAGCTGATTACAGCCGGCGTCCCTCAGGGTTCGATCCTTGGACCTATCCTTTACTCACTATACATCCATGACGTCCCTAGTCCCAGCAACTGTGAAGTCTATCTCTATGCTGACGATACTGCATTGGTGGCTCAGTCGTGGTCTGGTCCACCACCATTCGAAAACCCAGGCAATCTACTGTACAAAAAGACGTCCCGGCGTTCCGTCTGAAATTTCAATGAATGGACTTTGTATACCATGGGAATCCTCCGCTAAGTATCTCGGTGTCATTCTGGACAAAGGGATGACTTAGCGGAACCATATAGAAGCGCTAAAAACTAAATTCCAAATTTCGACAGCTTTACCCATTATTATGTAAACGATCAAAATTAAGTTTGATTAACAAGATTCGACTCTATAAGGTGGACATAAGACCAGCAATGACTTACGCATGTGCGGCTTGGTGTTTTATTGCTAAAACATACATGCGAAATCTGCAGGTTCTGCAAACCAGGACGTTGCGCACTATTGCTGATGCCCCATGGTATGTCTCTAACGAAACTTTACATAGAGACCTCGATGTCCCTTACCTAAAGGACTACATTAAGCACCAGGCGCAGCGGCGCTATAGCCTAGCGGAATCGCACAGCAACCCTCTGTTGCGTGAGTCAGTGGACTACACAGTCGAGCAAGTTCGCAAGCACAAAACGCCGCTGCTCGCACTGTAATCAAAATTAACTCGTGAACTTAGAACAACCAAAATTGGAGCATTTTGACAAAATCTTTAGAAAAAATCGAATATTTTTAGACCATAACAAAATCTGTGAAGTGATTTTAACAATGCCTAAACGCTGCCTATCCTAAAAGATTCTCTTCTTCCCCTTTGCTCTCGTTCTTCCTTCTCTCCTTTCCTTCCCTTTTTTCCTTAAAATTTTCTGGTTTCTGGGTTACCAGACCTGACAGACTTACAAACTGACACTGTGACTCAAGAGCTAAGGTCCCACGGACCGCTCTGACAACCAACGATGACTCGATTGTGACAATCTTGGGATAGTGAAAATTAATTTATTGATTCAGATTTTGCTTCCAAAATGGTTTACACACTAGCGGAAAAAGAGGAAATGATTCTAATTTCTGGTGCCCAAAATCAATGTGCTCGGCAAACTGCCGTCACTTTTAACGCCAGACATCCGGGGAAGATAACTTCGCATAGGTATGTTTTGGTCTTTGTTACTAAATTTACTCAAACTGGATCTAGTGCAAATAAAAAACGTGATCATCGGAGAGTTTTGGATGAAGCCGCTCAAGTTGAAGTTTTGAGTCATTTTGGAATAAATGCTAATACCTCATTACGCAAAATTGTTGCTGCGTCTAGTATTGCATTAGGCTCTGAACACACAGTTACTAAACTCCATAAATTTCATCCATTCAAAATGAAAATATTGCAAGAGTTAACCGAAGATAGTTTCGATAGGCGAGTTGAGTTTTGTGAACAAATGACTGCAGCGATTGATGGTAATACCATTCATGTAAAGAATGTAGTATCTGCTTCAGCAAGCCTAACCATTATTTCGTTTATTAGACATAAAATAGGGAAAACTTTCTCGATCCAACTACTTTTCAACAGTTCAAAGTAACCTAAAGAGCT